TTATTAATTATTATTACAATTATTAATTATTATTTTATTATTTATTAATTATCTATTATTTATTATCTATTAATTTTAATAATAGACATATTATATAATATTCACATATGTATATTAATATAGTGTAATACAAAAAATTTGTTTTTTGTTTCAGAAAAAGCACAAACGTTATATTTTGACGTACCCATAAGTGCTACTATCATCAGTAACATTTTTTTTTTCATCAGCACAATTTTATACCAGAAAATACATATAGCTAAGCTGTTGAGAGACCGTGAAATCATGAGCTACGATGAAAATAAGCAGAGGTAAAAAATGCGAGGGCTACTTTAAAGTGCTGTAACTTTGCGAAAAAAATCGCTGCAACTCATTTTTTTTAAATTAAAGAGGAAAGTTTATGCTTCAAACAACATTTCCCAAAAAAATTTTACGAAGTCCGTGCATTCCGTCAAACTTTGCAATTTTCAATATGACAAACATACATCCTCATATTTTGGGAGTTACAGTAGTAGGAGTGTATTAAACTTAAAATTTAGCCATAGCGTTTTTCAAATTGAGATTTCATGCTTTAATTAAAAAAAAAAAACGTTATCCTACGATAATCTTTGGCAAAGTTATCGTCAGTCAAAATTGGTCAATTTTTGCCCAAAAATTTTTTATGCCATAATTTTTTTGAGCAGTGTATATTTTATTAATATATTTTAACAACTGTAATTACAAGCAATACAAAAATATATTTGCTCACAGGTTTAATATGTACTTGAAGCTATTCATAATAATGGGACCAACTTGGGTTTTGAAGATAATATCGTGGGTCGATATTGGTGCCGATATACCACAATTTATCTGGTATACCGCCATCACTGTACATTGCTTGCAAGGTCTCATTATTTTCATCATATTTGTGTGTAAAAAAAAGGTTCTGCAAGCGCTATTAAAACGATTTAATAGCAACATTTGCGGTACTACATCCACTTGTAGTACTAGGAAACTAGGAAGTCCAGAAACAATATCCATGCAACAAATCGATTCCTCTAATTAGCAGCTAATCATCTCGCAAAATTCAATTAATTCTACTCATAAATGTTGCATAGGGAAAATTCTATTATAGATGAGAGTTAACAATTAATTAGAAGCATAATTTAATTCTTCAGTCGAAGATCTTACATATATATATACTATATCAGATTATGTTTTTGATGTTGTTTTTTGATCTCTTTAGAAAAGAGATATATTTAATGTTGTACAATCTGTTAAAATATTAAACAATACAATAAAATGTTTTAAACCAGAAAATTTGAAAGAAAGATGACTCATCCTAAGAATTGAAAAAAAGCCGTCTTGAAATATTGAATCAAATAATAATAAATACAACGAAATAACATTCTAAATTAATTACGGATTAAACAAATCTTATAAATTACGTATTATCGAGATATTAAACATACGACAAGAACATGACTAATACAATTTAAATAATAAGTAAGACATGTCATCATTCAAATAAATATTAAAAGAGGAGACAAAGTTAATATATAAACAATTACAAAGAAATTACAAAAATCAATTAAATGAAACTGTTTTGTGTCTTTTATTATCTATAGATAAGTGTGATGTAAGCCTTCCATGTCCGAACACAAATTGAGATTATTCTCCTGCATAAGGAAGGTATTTGTGTGTCGTTTATTAAGGAAACGTTCTTTATCAAGTACTGCAATGTTCTTCCAATCAAAGTAATATTCACAATTAATTCTATGTTCTATAATCACCAAATTATATTATTATGCGATTACAATGTTCTGACACTCTATATATGTATGCCATTAAATAGATTTTCATCGATACGAAAGTTTAAAAAAGTTCACACAAAGTCTAAAAGTGTTCACACAAAGTTATGATAGTTGAACCGAGATTAAAGTTAATTTACTTTGGTATAGAAATAGAATTTTCATGATCAACAAGCATATAATGATAAACTATGACGAAATAAGACTACATTCTCATGGATATATGTTGAATAGCACACTGTTTATTAAGTAGTACAACGTCGCGAACTAACTTTATAATTTCACAGTGTCAGTTCGTTTGCAGAATTTTTCAAATTCTGTTTCTGGCAATAGACTCAGATCTTAACTCCACTGAGACAAAATATTAATATCGAGTCAGTTCTTCCAATAACAATATTAGTTTTTTATTGCACTACTCTCTTATTATTAGTTATATCCATTATATTCGTTGCAAAGAATTTATTTCAGATTATTTATTTCAGATTACCTAGCTATTTTTTTATATTATTTAAAAATTTTATATTAAATGCTATTTATTTTTTGCATGTTTCAAGAAATTTTGGTAGCATCGGTGATCACCATGAATGATCACTAGCGTCAAAAATCAAGTTCTATTCTTTACCGAATGACCAGCATGGTAATTATATAATTATTTATATATTGTACTATTTTAACTTGAATAATATTTACGATGTGACGTGGTCCATGCGTGTTTAAATACAAAATGCATGGGATATAGAAGTGATACTACTATTTCCTATGTCAACGTCTGCATCATTTGATATGCAAAGGTATCAGAAATGAGACACGCAACATCCGGGTGAGAAAAGGGTTTCTTTTATGTAATTTGCTTTAATCTATCGAAATGTCTATCGCGTATACTTGGTGACAAGCATTTCTTCGTTTCTTTTATTTACAGATAAATAATTTATAATTTCCTCTTATATTACAGTATCAATTAATTTTGATTCCGCTCATCATTTATTCGACAATACTTTCCAATCACTCGAGCTCATCCGAAGGCCACTTACGCTTTTTCTGATTGACGAAGCAGAAAATTGGAAATATTACAATCGGAAATGGCTCGTTGAGCCATTTTATAAATGAAGTATTTATTTATGACTACAGCTGTTATTATCTTAATTGGAGTTTTAATCATAATGTTTAGCATGATTTTCATCAATACGCTGTTTGAAGTTTGAAGTCTTCTCTGTTCCCGTAAGTAGATATTCCCAGTTTATATCATAAAACGATTATTTTTGAAGGTCAAAACCGATCGCGTAATAAGAATGTCAAGTTGATTAACAGTCTGTTTCTTTCTTCTACATATATCTTGTACGCTGATAAAAGAAAAAGAAAACGGATAAATCGGATACAAGACAGAAGCTGCAAAATAAATATATTTCACTTATTAATTATACGTACGTGTTTTATGCATAAAATACACGAAAGATTTTAAAAATGTTTTTAAAATCGAAATGCTAAGGAAGTTTAATCTCTTTATTTTCTTTTTATTTAATATTATTTCATACATAATTGACTTTGTATTTTATATTTATTTTGCTCAATATATATCATCTCATATATTATGTCCATATCTCAATGTTTTCTTAATTTCAATATTGCCTCATTATAAATTCTCTCTTGCTTAATTTTCTCTCCCACACGTATATATGTTATTTATTCTAATCTATAATTTGTATGCGAAGTTAAGTCATCCTTCGCATATGAATCACCCTGTATCTACAATACAACCGGCGCGTTTACGCGTGTGCGTGCATGACGATATCCCACGCATGTATAACGCACGTGTACGCGTTCCGAAGTTGGCGACGACGAGAAACGACGTGAGACGATCCGTCTGGTCCGTGCATTTCGTGTGCTGTGCAGTCCATTGGGAGGAGTCGCGAGAGGATGAGGTTTGTTCTACCGCTCGTGATCCTCCTCGGAGCGTGCGCGTGTCACGCTCGCAACGACGAGATCGAGATCAATGAGATCGACGACGGTGAATCGGCCGCACGCGAAGTGCAACGCGTGCGCAACATCACACTCGCTCAGATCTTTGAGAACGCGGTCCAGGCCTATCTCGAGGAAGACTGGGATGGCTGCGTCGTGGGATTTAACGATGCGCTGCACGGGTACGTTGTTATAATTATCCCGTCGTCATCGTCGATATATTCTTCATAAGCACTCAATGTATATTAATTTTATGAAGTACTTTTAAGTTTTATTTAAGTTTCCATTTTTATGTTTTATAAAACATTCTTAAAGTTTTTAAAATTATAAGTGCGTTTTCTATCATCTCGTTTTAAGGAAGATACATATTTAATACTTTTATGAAACTTTTTTCACATTTATTTACATGCGTAAATTGAAAAAAATGATTCTTGAGTATTCAATGTAATATTAATTTTAAAATATCAAGTATTTTATTAATTTTAAAAGTTTTATTTTTAAAAAAGTACTTTTTTCTGAAATATTTAAAATTTAATGCATTTAAAAAAAATTTTTTTAGAGAAGAGAGATTTCTTTAGCTTTTTGTAATATAAAATTAATGTTTTAATTTAAAAACATTAAAATGTTTTTAGTAATATAAAATTACATTAAAATTTATGGAAGGAAAATATTTTTTACGAAAAAAACGAATTTTTGAAAAATAGCATGAAAAAAAAGAATAAGTTGCATAACACACAAAAGTATAATATATTAGAGATGTTAGATATTTTAATTTAAAAAAAGAACAGAATTAAATATAATAATTTAAAAAAATCTTACAATTCCAGTATCTATATTATAAAATATCTATTTATGTTACAAAATTTTTTTTAAATATCGACTGCAATACATAATTAATTCATATGTATTAAGTTCGTATTTTTTAATGTAAATTTACATAATGTTTCATAGATATAAAGCATACAAACGCCTGGTGATAATTTGCCGGCGAAAATGTAAAGCTGAGGCGGCAGGTTCTTCACCAATCTTCATGGAGGATATCGAGGATCTGCACTTTTACGAAAAAAAAGTGAGGGAGACGCTTTGTCTAATGAAATGTAATCAGGATTATCGAGAAATCGCAGGTGAGGGGGCGCTTAAACGACTCCCACACGCTACGGAGAGGAAATTTGTTGACCTTGCCATCTACGAGTATCTTCATATCTGTTATTTTCAGGTATGAAAATATATCTATTTGATCGAAACTTTTAATAATCGAATATTGCAAACTTTTCATATAAGTTACAAAAAAAGTAATGCTTACAACATTAAATTAAAACATAATTTTATTTTTCATTTTATATTTATTCTTATAATTTATATTT